CAGTTCTGCTGCAGCAGGAGAATGACCATGGAGAGGAGTCAGTCAGCGTTGGGAGCGTGGCTGGAGGCGGTCGCTATGATGGCCTGGTGGGAATGTTTGATCCCAAGGGACGGAAGGTGCCGTGTGTGGGGGTCAGCATTGGGATTGAGCGGATCTTCTCCATCCTTGAGCAGAGACTGGAGGTGAGTGCATTGGTACTCAGTTAAGGCACAGGGTTTGCATTCTTCCAATGCATTTATTCCAGTCCAGCAAATGCTGAAGTGGGTCTCTGATAGAGAACCTATCCAGGCCTTGCTGTGTTCTGCAGCAAGAAGTCAAAACAACTTCAATCTCCTGTTTTCTCTGGCTTCAGATGTGATCCCTTTTCTGCAGTCCCCACTACAGCTCCAGCTGGAGGGAGCACTGTGATTTCCAGCTGTATGAGGTGCCTTGGTCAGGTGCCCCAGTGTTCCCCCTGCACTGGGCATCCCTGTGACCGCACTGCTTTCATGGCCAGCCAGTGCTGCTCTGCAAGGTTCATGGGCAGTCTTGCACATGTGCCCATCCTGCTGAGAGCACTACAAAGACCTGATAGGGGCTGGGTGTCCCATAGCAGGAAGTACAGTGCCTTTGTCAGGGTTTGAGGTACGATTTTCCTCTTCCCTGCTCCTCAGAGCTGTTCTACCAATTTGTTCTCAGTCCCGTTCCGTGGATGCTAAAGAGGTCTTGGTTAGGATTCCAAAACACTGCCATGCATTTCCCTCCCCCAGAGTCCTGTTGTGGGGAGAGCTCTTGGCATCCTGACCCAACTGAGACCGGCAGAGCTGGGACATCTCAGCTTGCTGTTGTTAGCCTAACCCACAGTTACTAGAGGCTGTAGAACATGCAGCTGCTCTGTGCAGCTCCCACAGGGCCTGCTGCTCTCAGCCACTCTGAGCAGATCTCCCAGAGGCTGCAGGCCCTTGGGTGTGGAGGGACAATCTAGGCAGAAGTTGGCAGTGAAATCAGTCATCTCAGCATGTTCTCCAGCCTGTGCACACCTGCAAGCACAGAGAGGAGGCGAGGATAAGCACCAGAACATGGAACAATCACAGATATTGAGATTCTAGGATGGGTCTCTGGGCACTGCCCAAAGTGCATGCTGTTCTTAGAGCCTTGGATATGTCTGTGTGTCTGTAGAATCTTTTGAGTCTTGTCCACTTTGTAGGCCTCGGAGGAGAAGATCAGGACAACAGAGACACAAGTGCTCGTGGCCTCTGCCCAAAAGAAGCTCCTGGAAGAGCGGCTGAAGCTCATCTCTGAGCTGTGGGATGCTGGAATCAAGGTATAATCAATATAATATAATCAAGGTCAAGTCAGGAGCTGCCTAATCTCTTATTTCTTATGCCCAGAAATGGACCACATCTGGCTTTGCTCTGGGAGGAAGGACTCACAGGGAGAGGGTGGGCAGCAGACACCTTTCTGAATGGAGCTTGCCTCTTCGTGTCCTAGATGAGATGTTTTCCAGGGGGTGCTGGGTGATACGACTTGCTTGGCCCTATACTACTGCAGAAGCTGTTGTGGCTTTGCTCAGGATAGATTGTCAAAGCAGGGCAGCACTTCAGCCTCTGCTGAATGACAGCTGTGATGTCATATGCCACTTCCACCAGAAAACACGATGGTGCAGACTTGCAAGGAGGGGAGGAGCCTGGGCTGTGTTTTCCATTGTCTAAAAAGCCACCTGTCTGTGCACTGCTCCTGCTGCAGCAAGTCTGCCATGAGACCCAGCAGAGAAGGGATGCTCCATGGGGCTTCTGAGCCTCAGGAACACCACAGGTGTCAGTCCTGGTCTGACACACACTAGAGCAGACAACCTGGTGCTTTCCCAGGAGCTGCAGTGTCTTCCAAGTTCCTCTGAGCTGTTCTGCATTACTTTTTAGCTGCAGTGCCCTGCCTCTTGATGTCAGCCCGTCTGTACATACCTCCTATTCACGGGCTAGCAATTGGACTGGCCTGGGAATGCTGGTGGGACGATGGGGCACAGAGCAGTAGGCCAGTGCTGAGAGCAGCCTTGTGCTCTGGTTCCCTTCCAGGCAGAAGTACTGTACAAGAAGAACCCCAAGCTCCTGAATCAGCTGCAGTACTGCGAGGACACGGGCATCCCCCTTGTGGCCATTGTGGGAGAGCAGGAGCTCAAGGATGGAGTTGTGAAGCTGCGGGTGGTGGCAACCAGGGAGGAGGTGAGGCTCTGGTGACTCAGAGGGGATGAGGGCTGCCCCACCTTCCATCCCAGCTCAGACCTGCCTTCCATGCCCTGTTCAGCCATAGGATCAGGTTCTGTAGAGCTCTGGGAACCGGTGCAGGCCCATACTTGGAGTTTGGTGCCCAGAGCTCAAGGGTCTGCAGTGAGGGAAGGTCAGCATTGCTCTATGGCTGCTTCCACGTTCCTTCCAGGGTATGGGAGGGTTCCCTGCTGGAACAAGGAGGGGGCCTGGTGGTCATCTGTGTGCTGGCCTCAGTTTTAGAAAGAGTGGAAGAACGTTGTGCTTGGTCATCGGGTGGGAGTGTTACTTACATTGCTTACTGTCATGGAGCAGAGCCCAGCTCTGTCTATGCTGCTGCCTGCTTGATCCCCATAGAGGGACTGGTGCCACGATGGCACAGTTTCATCAGCCAAAGGCCGTGAATTACGGCATGGGCCAGCAGGGACCACACAGCCAGCTGCTTGCCTTGTAATTATGGAGCCTTCTGCTTTCTGTGTAGGTCAACATCTGCAGGGAGAGCCTCGTGGAGGAGATCAGGAGGCGAACAAGTCAGCTTTAGCCCCCACCTGGACAGCTCTCCCTCGCTGGGTTCTGGTGAACAGATGTGCTCCTGTAACCCCGGGCTGCTTGGCTCCACCACCCAGCCAGCTGGCAGCAGGTGCAGGGTCAGGGAAGCCTTTGGAGGTTGTATTTATTCTTTGTCTCGTGTCCTCCCTTCTCAGCAGGAGCAGGGAGGCCGCACTCCTGTGAGATGCCCGGCCCTGGGCTGTGTCACTGCAGAGATGTTTTGTGAGCACCTCTGGCACACGCTGCCCTCCCTCCTGGCTGCAGCTGTGCCATGACCGGAGCGCCATAGTGCCAGCGGCCGCCAGGCTCTTGGCTGCAGCTCCTTGTGCCCTTCACGTTCAATGTGTCCGGCCCAGCGTTTCTGCTCTGGCTGCGGCGGGGTTGACCTCATCCCATGCCAAATGTTCTGACAACCAATAAATCTCGTCCATCCCACGCCTCGCCTTTTCTTCCTTCCTTTCTGCTCCTGCCACGAGCGCAGCGCTGCAGGATCGGGGGACGGCGCCGCATCCCCGGCCCTCCGCTCTCTCCTCCCTCCTCGGGGCGGGGCGGTCGAGGCCCAAAGGTGGGCGGTAGCTACGGAAAGTTCCAGAGCCGGGTGGGGACCACGAGGAACGGCGATGGCGGAGCAGGTGGGTGCTGTGCGGGACGGGGCTGCGGGGCGAGGCCGCGCTCGCGGGATCCCCGCTTGTTATGGAACGGCCGTCGGGCTTGGCGCTGCGCGGCTCGACGGCACCGCGTGGGGCCGGCAGGAACTCGGAGCGGCTGCCGGGGGGCTCGGTGCGCGCCCGTCGGGGCTCGGAGCCGCACTGCGCGGCGCTGCCGGGGTTGGGAGCCCCTCGTGGGACCGCTGCTGCCGGGATCCGCTCGGTGCTGACCCCGCGGGGCCCTCGGCTGCGTCCCTCTGGGCTTCGGGAAAGGCGGAACCCCGCGGGGACAGAAACGCAGCGGTGCGCGGGAGTAAAGTGCAAGCGGACGGGATGTTAGCGTGAGCTGGGACCGGAGCGGTTGAGCCGTGAAGGCTGGAGGAGAGCTCTGCCGTTATGGACCCATCCCCACCGTGCGCTCTAACCACGTTCCTCCGTGCCGCATCGCCACGGCTCTGGGACACCTCCGGCGCCTCAAAGGCGCTGATGAAACCGGGCGGTACTTAATGAGTACTCGGTGATGATGGTGCTGTGTGGGCAGTGTCCTCGGTGCCTCCCTGCGGCTGCATTGTCCCGGGGGGTGGGCTGGAGGTGCGGGCTGGCTCTCCGTGTCCCACCCATATCCTGCCTGGGGCTGTGCTCACCGCGGTACGATGGCGATGGCTCAGAGCGGCACTTTGCTCCGGCCCTGCCTTGTGATGCACCCAAATCTTTGCTCTCAAAGCCTTTGCAGACATCTCTGGAGGAGCTGTTGGTGCCCGTGTGCTCTGCCAGAGTTGCTGCTATTAGGCGGTGGAACAGGAGAGCTCTTTGGATGCGCCCTGAGGGCAGAGCAGCCCCACATTGCAGTGCAGTGCTCAGCCTGGGGGCGGCGCTTCGGGGTTGGAATGCCTGCAGTTGGGCAGCCGGATGCTCTGCCCAGGGCGGCTCCGACCTCCTCCCTCCCTCCCTCAGCAGTGGACCAGCAGCATCAACCGGGCCAATAAGATGGCTCTGCTCACCTGGATGAGAGAAACCGGCATCGACCTCGTGCAGGTGAACGGGCAGCGGCGGTACGGCGGCCCTCCGCCAGGTGGGTGCCAGCGGCTCGGCGCGGCGCTGCCTAGGGCTGGGCGGTACTCTGACGTCTGTGTTCCCGCAGGGTGGGTGGGCAGCCCGCCGCCCCCAGGCTCCGAGGTGTACATCGCCAAGCTGCCGCGGGATCTGTATGAGGACAAGCTCATCCCGCTCTTCCAGAGCGTGGGGCAGCTCTACGAGTTCCGCCTCATGCTGACCTTCAGCGGGCTGAACCGCGGCTTCGCCTACGCCAAGTATAGCGACCAGCACAGCGCCGGGAAGGCCATCGCCGCCCTCAACAACTGGGAGGTGCAGGAGGGCCGCACCATCCTGGTGTGCCGGAGCTTCGAGAAGTGCGAGCTGAGCGTGAACGGGCTGCCTGCCACACTGCGCCGCGGGGAGCTGGGCGCCCTGCTGCTGGAGATCACCGAGGGGCTGCTGGGCTTAACGCTGCACAACAGTCCCGACCGCAAGCAGGGCAAGGTCGCCATGCTGACCTACAGCTCACACCGGGCTGCCGCCATGGCCAAGAAAGCCCTGGTGGAAGGTACTGGGAGGCAGCGGGGTCGCTGGAGTTAGAGGTGGGGTGGGACGGACTGGGTGTGCAGCTACCGTGGGTCTCTCCTAGGGAACGTCGGCGTCTTCAAGAAGGCGAAGGTGGAGTGGCTGAAGCCTGAGCTGAAGGAGCAGCTGCAGGCGTGTGGGGAGAAGCCGCCCCCCAGCAACGTGCGGCGCCTGGGGAGCCCCGAGCGGGGGCTGCCATCCTCGGAGCTGTGTGGTGCTCTGGGCCGACTGCAGGCCTTGTGCCGGTGGCTGCACCTGGGGAGCCCCCACTTCCTCACCAGGTGCGTGCAGGCAGAGCCCGACGGCTGGCAGCGGTACTGGGGCCAGGTGGTGATCCCATCCTACCCCGTGCCCTGCAGCACCTTCCTGTGGGTGCGGGAGGACGCGGCGGGCACCGCGGGGCACGAGAAGATCAAAGAGGTGGTAGCGCAGCTGGCCCTGATGATGCTGGGTGAGTCGGTCCCCACCTCCCCTCACTGCCTGGGGGCTCTCCTGGGGCTGGGGGCTGCTGGGGGCAGGCTGGGGGGAGAGGAACAGCATCCAGCGCTCTGCTCTCTCCTGCAGGGTACTGAGGATGTATGCGGGCACGCGTTGTGCCCCAGCTATGAAATGAACCCGAGACACCCGATGTCACATCGTGGAGCAGAGCTGAGCCTAGTGGGGCCGTGTTCCTGTTCAGCCTTGTTTTGAGTTCATTGGGGGTTTGTTTAAGGGCCATCTGGAGGGCGTGGGCACTGCCACGTTCCCACCAGCGCTGGGTCCGTTGTGAGCAGCGGGCACGTCCTGTCTGCTGCCATGTTTTCCTGTTGATGAAGTTGTTTTGTGTTGCTGTGGTGCTGCAGGGCTCTCAGGAGGAGCAGCAGCTGCCTGGAAGGATATGAGCTGGGGGGGCTGGCAGGGGGAGGCTGGCACTGGGCCCCATTGCCTGCAGCCCCGTTGCCATGAGGCAGGTGGGGGACCCTGGGCTGTCTGCAGGCACTGCCTGCAGCCTGGAGGCCAGCGGCCACCTGCTGGCGATTAAAGGAGCCTGGGAAGCTGTGACGGTGTTCTGTTGTGTTCTGTTGCTGTGGTTTCCCCGGGTGGATCCCATCCTGCAGCCAGGCGCACATTGGGCAGCTCCTGCTGACATCACCCCAACGTCACCCCTGCATGCAGTTCCTGAGGCACAGCAGCTGCCACCCATCCTGGGCCGGCTTTAGCCCAGCGGTTCCTTCGGTTCAAACAATGTGCTTTCCGGGCTCCGACTGGGGTTCGATCCCGCGGGCACCCCTGGCCCATTTTGTGTGTTCCCATCATTACTTTTAACCACTTCAGGGATCAGTGCTCTCCAGTGTCTTCATCAGTGACACTGAGTGGGATCGAGTGCTCCCTGAGCCGTCTGCAGGTGACACCAAGCTGTGAAGGGACACACCGAGGGACAGGATGCCATTCAGAAAGACCCAGACTGAGCAGTGGGCCCAGGAGAATGTCGTGAGGTTCAACAAAGCCAAGCACACAGTCTGGCACCTGGACCGTGGCCACCACCGCTGTCGGTGCAAGCTGGGGGGTGACGGGATGGAGCACAGCCCTGCCAAAAAGGACTTGGGATGCTGCTGGGTGGCAGCTGGACGTGAGCCAGCGCTGTGCCCTCGTAGCCCAGAGAGCAAACCGTACCCTGGGTGCACCCAAAGCGGCACGGCCAGCAGGGTGGTAAAGGGGATCTGCCCCTCTGCTCTGTGCCGTGAGACCTCACCTGGAGTGCTGCATCAGGACAGGGCGTGCTGAGCACAGGAGAGACGTGGAGCGGTTGGGGTGTGTGCAGAGGAGGGCCCAAAAACGCTCCCAGGGATGGCACAAATCCCTCGTGCAGGCACAGGTGAGCTGGAGGACAGCACTCACACCTCAGCTGCACTCACATTTAGCATGCAGTCGTGCTCTGAGCTCCAGCCCTGCATACGTTCCTCATCAGCATCTTCCCCTCACCAATGTCCACCACTGTGGCTGCCATTTCTGGGCACATCTTGGCAAGTGCTGCAGGTGGCCTCACTACACATCCAGACACCAGGCATAAAATTCCACCCATCCGAGGGCTCTGCTGGCCAGAGCCCAGAACTCAGGACAACCCGAGGGGAGCAGCCTGCAAGCTGTACGAGGGGTTGGACCAGAACACGCTCCCCTTCCCCAGCCAATGCACAGGATTCAGAGCAGGGATGTAACTCAGCCCAATGCAGGGATGCACACCATGCACTGGGAAATCAGGTCCTTGCCCTGCCCTGCATGAGCTGCCAATACCTCTGTGCCTCCAGCACCTGGGAGCCAACAGCCACCCTACTGCAGGGGACACAGCACAGCAGCCTGGGAGCCCAAGGTCAGCCCAGGTGTGCTGCTCTGTCATGGAGCACGGGGGAAAAAAAGCAGGTTTCCTGCCAAAGACAGCTACAGTTTGGGATGCTGGGCCATTCATCAGCAGGGCTCTCATCACCCCAGTGCCCAGCAGACATATCCCCAGTGTTCTGGAAAGTCTTAGGGAAGTTTGGGCAAGCCAAGCCATCAGCACAAGCTGCTAGGAACCAAAAGGCACTATGTTTTTAATACCCCTGATGCCTAAGCTTAACAGTTGACCGATGCTTGATGTATCTGCTCAGGATGCGGTGCAGGCTCTGCTGCAGCCTGGAGGAAACACGGCACAGTCCTCACCAACCCTGTGGAACCTCACAGCAGACGGGAGCTGACCCGTTTTCTCTCAGTGACCCCACCATCTCCACCAGCACCCTGCTCTGTTCCCAGCCTCAGGATGTCCACAGCCACCAGCAGACCGCAGCTCCTCAGTCACTGTCGTCACTGTCACTCCCTGTTGCCGCCTCCACTGTGGTTTCCTGCTCCTCTCTTAGGTCTGCAAAGAAGTCCTCCCCGCTGCCTGCAGCCTTACTGCTCAGGGCTTTCAGTGGCCCCCCCCGCTTCTTCTTCTTGCGGTACTCATCCACCACCATGGAGCCCAGCGAGGAGATGTCCCAGAACTTCACCTTCTGGTCGTGGGCACAGCTGGCCAGGAGCTGCCCGCCTGGGGCCACAGCCAGCTGCTCAATGGGCTCCCCCAGGTGCTGCCCAACGCACCCCAGCACCCGGTTGGGCAAAATGTTCACCGCCCTGGGGAAAAGTGAACGGATGGAGCACAGTGAGGGGCAGAGCCTTGGGGAATGCAAGCCCACCTCTCCAGCTCAATGCATTCCTTCCAAAATGAGCAGAAGCTTTCTTTGCCCTGCCCTCCAAGGCTCATCTCGCTCTGCACCCTCCCCAGAGCCCTTCCCATTGCATCATTTTCACCCAGAGGGTGGTGAGGCACTGGAACAGGCTGCCCAAGGAGGCTGTGGATGCCCCATCCCTGCAGGCATTCAAGGCCAGGCTGGATGTGGCTCTGGGCAGCCTGGGCTGCTGGTTGGTGACCTGCACATAACAGGGGGATTGGAACCAGATGCTCACTGTGGTCCTTTTCAACCCAGGCCATTCTGTGATGTGATTCTATGATCCCACACCCACAGCGCTGACCTGATGACCCCGTCGAGGGATCCTGTGCACACGATGCTCTCTGTGACAGGGACCATGCAGTCCACTGACTCGGCCCTCAGAGAGAAGCGGTCACTGGTGGCACCGAAACCATTCCAGTTGAAGAGGTAGATGGTTCCTTCGCTGGAGCCACAAGCCACTTTCTTCCCTCGCTAAGCAAGAAGGGGGAGACCAAACCACAGGAACCAGAGCATGGCAAAGAAACAACAGGGCTGTGCACGTGCTGGCCTGCAGGGCCCCCAGCCTACCTTCAGCAGCACAACCGATGTCAGATCCCCGCTCTGCGGCTCCGAGAGCAGCTCAAAGCGGCGCCTTTTGATGTTGAAGACTCCCATGGTGCCGTCCCCACTGCGGGAAATGGAGCGGCCCCGTGGGGCGGGGGCAGGGGGCAGCACTAAGCCCGCCACGGGCAGCACCAGCCCCGCAGTACCTGGCGGTCAGCAGGATCTTCCCGGCCCCATCCACGGCCATGGCGCTGATGTACTCCTCGTGCTGCCGGGCCTCCAGCACGGCGCCGCCCTTGCGCAGGTCCCACACCTTGAGCTCCCCGTTGTCGTCGCCCGTGGCCAGCAGGTGCTGATCGACGGGCAGCACGCAGTTGAGGGCCGCGCTGCGGGACCACGTGGGTCAGCCGAGGGCTGAGCCGCAGTCGGGGTTCCCGCAGCCCGGCCCGGCACGCACCCGTGGGCTTTGGCGATGCGCGTCTCCAGGCGGCCGTCCTCCACCGCCAGCACGTGGACGGCTTTGTCTTTGGCCACGGTGAGCAGCTCTGGGGACGGAGAGCCGTCAGCGCGGCCCCGACCCGACCGCGGCCCCGCCGCCGGCCCCGCACTCACTGTGTCCGTCCTGGGAGAAGGCGACATCGCGGCACGACTTCAGGTGGTGTCCCGAAGACCAGAGCTGGCGGTTGTTCCCTTGCACGCAGCAGTACGAGTACCTGCGGGCGGCCGTGAGGCGGGGCCGTGCGGGGCGCCAACGGGTACCCATAGGTCCCCACAGGTACTCACAGATACACGTCGCCGTCCACGTCCCCCGCCGCCAGCAGCTCCCGCTCCGGGTGCAACGCGATGGCGTTGGCCGCTGCCTCCAAGCAGATGTCGTCGGGGGTGTCCCGGAGCTGCGGCTCCGCGGGCGGCTCCTGCGGGCGGGATGGAGCGCGGTGAGGTGAGGCGCGGCTCCGCAGCCCCCACCCCGCACCCCACGCCGCCGCGCACCTCCTCGGACTCCGCCATGCTGCCGCGGACAGCCTGCTGCGCATGCCCGGGCTGTGCCGGCGCTAGAGCGCCCCCTGGCGGCCGGGCTGACTGATGCGGAGGCCGCCGGCTCGAAACCCGGGTCCGACTCGTTCGCCCCCCGCCCCCCCCCCTACCCCCCGGCCTAGGCTTCAACGCTGAGCCGAGCTAAACACCGCTCTGCTACACACGTACACGCGCGCAGAAGCCTTGAATGTAATTTTATTACGTCTACGAGGGTTGCAAATCACAAGCTGTACAACAAACTCGAGGAGAGAGCCCCAGCACAGCCCCACAGCACAAGGCTGGGGCTCTGCGTGCTGCCCGGAGCGGGAAGTCAGCCAGTGTGGGGGTGAAGGAGGGGCAGCCCGCGCCGAGGCATGCCTGCGCACTGGGAACACTGCATCCAGCAGGACGAGGCTCCAGGAGCAGAAGGATCAGATGTAGGCAGGCAGCTACAGCCTCAGTACTTGGGCCTTTTCACTTCCACCCTGGAAAGAGAGACGGGCACAAGGCTGGTGAGGTTGCAGGAAAGGAGAGCAATCCCCCTCCATTCTAGGGCTCAGTAGCAAAGCACCATCCTAAGGGCACGCAGCAGGTGACTGTGATGAAGAGCCCAAAAACTCATCACCTCCCACATCTGCTCTGCCCCCAGCCAAGGCCCAGGAGAGAGGTACCCTGCATAGCACATGAGGGGCTGAATGTTCTCCCCATCCTTCCAGACCCATTGCCTAGAGGCAGCAGAGAGGTCTTTGCCCCCTGCAGCCCCAAGAGGACTTGTAGGAGACGGCCCCAGTCCCCGCTGCTGAGCCAGAAGCAGGGATCACTTTACTAACCCATCAGCCTCCAGTTTCTTCCTCTTCTCAATGATCTGTGAAAAAAAACACAAATGCCTGTTATACTTTGTGCACAGCCAGCTACCCAACTGCCCCTTTCCTCCATAAGGACAAAGCAAGCAGCAGAAGCACTGTAGGGTGCAAGACACAGTGAGGGCTACAGCTGGAGCAAAGTTGTCAACAAGCTGTCCATAAACTTGGCCTGTTCTCCCTTTGCTCCATTTTGGCCATCAAAGACAAGTCCCATTTTTGTTTAGCATCTGTTCTCGCCTTTTCCTAGCCCACCCCACAGTACTGGGGGTGCTCATGGCCTGCTCATTTTGACAAGACCTCCTCCTCTTGGATATCATCCCAGCTCTGCTTCTTAGAAAACAGGAAGCCACAGAACACGCCCTGTCCCCTCCAAGCCCACCCGAACAGCTTAGAG